ATACAAGGGGGTCAGAGGAGATGATCACAACGGTCCCTTCTGGCCCTGGGGAACCTATGAGCAAGGAGGAGGCTGAGAATGCCCCCAGCTCGCAGGGTCTCTAAACGTTCCCAGGCTCTGAGTACTTCGCCCTCCAAGGGGGGACCCAGGGGCAAGGAGGGCAGAGCCAGGCTCTCCCAGAGAGCAGATGAGGATCTCCCTGGGGACCAGGGATGGCTCCCCCGCATTAGCACAGTGCCACTGGGGGGGGTTGGTGTTTGGAAGCGGCACCTGCGCCAGCCCTTTCCTCTCCGTTGTGCTGCGGGGTTTAGTTTCACTTTCCCTCACCCCAGGAGGCGGCTGTGCCCGGCCCCAGGTGCGGCGTGTTGGAGGGCGAAGCTGTTCAGCACCACTGCCTCCCCCAATGGCTCCGTCCCTCGACCATGCTGGTTGCCGCGCCTGGCTGGCTGTCTCCTCCTTGCTCCGCCACAGGCTCCCACTGACCATCCTGCGTGGCGCCCCTCACTGCGGGAGCAGGTTTGTTATGGAGGCCTCACTTCCCACCCTGCCCCGCTCAGCTGACTCCCGTGACACTGGACACTGCTTTTTGGTGTCCCCAAATCTTGGCACCCTAGGCGGCCACCTAGTTCACCTAGTGGTTACACCGGCCCTGCATCCAAGTCATTAATAAATATGTTAAATAACACTGGACCCAGAACAGATCCAAGTGGAACCCCACTTGCGACCTCCTTTCAATCTGACATTCCATTAATAATTACTCTTTCTGGTTGTTTAACCAATTATGCATCCATTTAATGGTGGTTCTACCAAGCCCACATTTCTCCAGCTTACTTATGAGAATGTCATGTGGGACTGTGTCAAAAGCCTTGCTTCAGTCCAGGTATATTATGTCCACCGCATTCCCCTATCCACCAAACCAGTTACCTGTCAAAGAAGGAACTCAAGCTGGCTTGGGATGATTTGTTCTTAGTAAATTCTGATTATAAGAGAAAATCCAAGCAGCAGATATTTTCACTCTTTCACCTGTGCACACCTCTTCTCCTGTAGGGACACTCATACATGGTAGCCTCCCTGCCTCAGTTCTCTTGAGAGGGAGGCAGATTCCTTCATAATTAGCTTTCTCTGAAGAAACATGTCTAGGATAATATCAGACCTCCTTTTTGAACAGCTGGCCACTGTCTCTCTGTAACAACAGCTTAGAGGAAAAGGGGTAGACACCCTTGACTTGACTGTTGGGAGATCAAGTTTCTTAAGAGACAGGATAATACCAGGGTGGGAGCTTGTTAATAGGATCATGATCCTGGCAGTCAAAGAGTGAGTTGTCTCCAGTCTAGTGCAGCTAGGGAAGAACTTTTTCTTTGCCTCTTCTTTCCACGTAGCAGAGCAAAGAACCACTTACTGGGTGTGGAGCCTTACATTAGCTTCCCATTTAAGCAGAGCTACCACGAGATAAAATCCATTTTTTTTCTTCAGTTGTCTGTTTATAAATATACATATGCTTATTTTTAGTCTTTCCCCCTTTTCTCCCTATCAAGCAAACATGTTTGTGAAATCCCTCATTCTTTGGAGGAGCACCATGGAATGCACTTCTTTAAGACACCAATATTATGGTGCAATATAGTAATAGCCATTCAATCATGGGTGAATCTGAAATGAACATACTCATGTTAACCCCTTTGAGGAATAGGCTGGTATGTCCAGGAACTAGGATGACCATGTGTCCGGTTTTCAACCAGAACACCCGGTCGAAAAGGGACACTGGCGGCTCCGGTGAGCACTGCTGACTGGGCCATTAAAGATCTGGTCAGCGGTGCTGCAGTGCTAAGGTGGGCTAGTCCCTACCTGTGCCCTGGAAGCGCCCAGCAGGTCCGGCTCCTCAGCAGGGGGCCACAGGGCTCCGTGCACTGCCAACTGCCCCGAGCACTGGCTCAGCACTCCCATTGGCTGGCTCCCAGCCAATGGGAGCTGGGTGGGGGGTGGTGCCTGTGGGCAAAAGCAGCATTAAGAGCCTCCTGCACCTCCCCACCCCTGCCTACTAGCGCCGGACCTGCTGGCCACTTCCAGGGCACACGCAACGCGGTGTCAGGACAGGCAGGAAGCCTGCCTTAGCCCTGCTGTGCCACTGACCGGGAGCCGCCCAAGGTAAGCCTGTGCCCCAACCCCCTGCCCCAGCCCTGAGCTCCCCCCAAACCTGGAGCCCCCTCCTGCACCCTAAAGCCCTCATCCCCAGCCGCTGCCCCAGCCCAGAGCCCACCCCCCAACCAGAGACCTCACCCCCACACACACCCCAGCCCTCTGCCCCAGCCCTGAGCCCCCTCCCACATTCTGAATCCCTCAGCCCCACCCCCCAGTGTGGAGCCTCCTCCTGTATCCCAAAGCCCTTCATCCCAAGCCGTACCCCAGAGCCCGCATCCCCAGCCGGAGCCCTCATCTCCTCTCGCAGCCTAACCCCCTGCCCCAGCCCAGTGAAAGTGAGTGAGGATTGGGGAGAGTGAGCCACTGAGGGAGGGGGAATGTAGCGAGTAGGGGGCAGGGCCTCGGGAAGGGGCAGGGCCAGGGTGTTCAGTTTTATGCGATTAGAAAGTTGGCAACCCTAGCAGGAACGTGAATTTTTCAATAAGACCTTGTATGTCTTGAAGTGCTATTAATGGGGGCACATGCTGTCTTTAAAAATGCCACAAATGCACTATCTTGCTGTAGTGAATGGACTATTTTAGCACTGTCAAAAGATAGAAACATACTTAAAATTTGGTCTGTTCCCTATTTAAAATCAACTTCAGCCATATGCCTCATTTAAAACCAAATTCAGCCCTATTCCCTGTTTAAAAAGAAAAAAACCCATAACATTTTCCATTAGGATCTCTTCTCTGTCTTGTAAGTATATTCTATCCTTTGTTATACTTCACTGTAATCTTAAATTGTACAAGTCAAATAAATGTTTACATGATACCAACACTGGGAGTGATTTCAAATGATCTTGGCTTTGGATGGAGTTGTATCCATAAATCTGCAGTTTTTTAGTTATATAAGAAAATTATATAGCAAGCTTTTCATTTGAAACCAATGAAGACCCTAAACCTCAGCTACATATGCAGCTACGCAAGCCTCTATGTGGCTAAATGAGCCACTTCAAGAGTCTATGCAGTCTGACTTGAACGTACAAAAATAGGTGCAGACTGCATATGCCAGAGTCTTCATTAGCAATGAATCAGATCCTTGTGTCTTTACTTGTAGTTTCACTTTTGCTTTCCAATGACTATTTTAAATATAGCTCTTCTTTTGCAGAACCTGTTTTCATTTTGTGACGTTATCCTTGTTCATGAGTCAAAAGCTCAAGAGAGTTTACAGATATTTTTGGAGTTCAGAGTTTTACATTAAACCCCAACTTTCCACTAATTCACTGATTTCACGACGCTCATAAAATTGTTATATCCACCCCCAGTTCTCATTTTTTTTCATAAGAGGAAAAAATCAGCAACACAACCACAAGTTTTGTTTCTTGGGAAAACATATCATTCCTCTGTATTCAGATTTAACAAGATTTTTTTCATGTAGTTTCTGCTAATTTTCACTGTTACTCTTTGGTTTCTATAAGGATCCTCCCA